GCCCTCTCCTCACTGCTTGCACTGGGCACACACCATTGCTGAAGGTGCTGCCCCTTCCCTGCCAAAGCACCTTATGACAGCTGCCTTTAAGAAGACTTAGCCATGTAAAGAAGATGTGGTTGATTTATGGGATCTGAACTCCGAACCTTCACAGACGGTGTTGTGTGGGCCATTGGGGGACCCAGGAACCGGCTTCCAGCCAGGGCTGCAGCGGCACTCATAGCTGCCCTCCTTGTTGTGGCATTGGGTGGATGGGTGGCAGGAGTATTGCCCAGAGGTACATTCATCCACATCTGAGGACAAACCAGAGAGAGTGTCAGGTCCTCCCTCTACTCCCTGCACATAAAGCTTCATTCCTCTTCTGAAAACATACCCCGATGACACCCCCACTACTCCCTGCTTAAATCCACCAGGCCTGACAGTATACAAAGTTGTTGTGACATTTTTCACTCTAGAAGCGCCATAAGCTCAGAGCACCCCTGCAAGGTGGACAGGGCAGGACTGTGTGTGTGTGTGTGTGTGTGTGTGCCAGTGTCATCCCAAAGCTGTGCCTCCCTCTGTGGGGAGGATGGACGGGGGAGGACCTGTAATGGACATCTAACCAGGGAGGCTGCCACTCTGAGAGTTCCCACGAGCTGAGGCTGTGGGCTGTGACCAGAGCTGCGCTCATGCCCTTATTAGAACAGATTCCGAAGCTCAGCCCTGCGTGGCCAGGTGCCCTCTCCTCACTGCCGGCACTGAGCATACATCATTGCTGACGGTGCTGCCCCTTCTCTGCCAAACTCCTCATGGCAGCTTCCTTTCAGATGGCTCAGCCATGTAAAGAAGATGTGCACTTATTGGATCTGAACTCCGGACCTTCACAAACTGTGTTGTGTGGACCATTGGGGGACCCAGGAATCGGCTTCCAACCAGGGCTGCAGCGGCACTCATAGCTGCCCTCGGTGTTGTGGCATTGGGTGGATTTGTGGCAGGAGTTTTGTCCCGAGGTACATTCATCCACATCATAGGACAAACCAGAGAGTGTCAGGCCTATCCTGCATTCCCTGCATGCAAAGCTCCGGCCATTTCTCTCAAATTACACTCTGGACACCCCACTAACCCTGCCTAAGAGCTACCTAGTCCGACAGTATACAAAGTTGTAGTGACATTTGCCACTGTAGAAGCATCATAATCTCAGAGCACCCCTGCAAGGTGTACAGGGCAGGACTGTGTGTGTGTGTGTGTGTGTGTGTGTGTGTGTGTGTGTGCCGGTGTCATCCCTAAGATGTGCCCTAACCTGTTGGGCAGGATGGACTGGGCTAGGACCTGTGATGAATTTGTAACCAGGGAGGCTGCCACACTGACAGCTCCATGTGCTGAGGCTGTGGGCTGTGGCACCCCTGCGCCTAGAGCTGCACTCCTGCCCTTATTAGAACAAATCTAAGCTCAGCCCTGCATCTCCTCACCTGCACCGGGCACAGGCCATTGCTGAAAGTGCTGCCCCGTCTCTGCCAAAGCACCTTATGCCAGCTTCCTTTCAGATAGCAGCCCAACATAAAGAATTTGACGTCCATTTGTGGGATCTGAACTCCGAACCTTCACAGACGGTGTTGTTTGGGCCATTGGGGGACCCAGGAATCGGCTTCCAGCCAGGGCTGCAGCGGCACTCATAGCTGCCCTCGGTGTTGTGGCATTGGG